TACCTATTCTTTACCCTTTGGTCCAGGCATAAAGAATATTGACTAATCCTACGCTTATTTACTGAATCTGCGGCTGGGCTGGGAGAATACCGGCTCTCACTTCGGAGCTCCCACGTTCCCCTCACTTGAGGGCTAACATCTACACTTCAACACCCAAACGATAGGACCGAATTGAGGATTTTAGTCTGGCACTCTAAAATCTCCAATTCAACGCCCGATAATATTATTCCCTATTTATTTTTACCCAACTTCCAAGGGTTTTGACCTCTCTGAATCTTGGATGTAATTTTCACTTTAGTTGTAAAACTCAACATATTTTAACAAATCAATTGGTCAAATTAAAAGTAAATTAATATCAAAGTGAAATGATCATCACAATTTCTTAAACATTTTCATGGCTTCACCAATTCAAATTATCATTTCACAAAACCATTTCACAAATCTTGAGACAAGGAGAAAGACAGAAAAAACTACTCAGATCTAATGGGGAAAACACAACAAAACTCGAAATTTATATATAAAATCAAAGTCATACAAAATACAACAAGTAAATAACTTATCTCTAATTTCTCTCCAAAGAACACTCCTCGAAGTTCCTCTGAATCTCTTCCTTTCTTTACAGCACACAGAATTCCTCTTCGAAGCAGCAAGGAGGAAGAAATCTCTCACTTTCCCTCCACTCTTACAATCTCTCAAAGAATTCCTCACAATATTGGAACCTTTCTAATCTTTAGAAACTCTCTCTAGCACTTTCTTCACTCTCTAGATTCTCCCCCCCCCCTCCTTTAATTTTCGGCCAAAATAGTCTATTAAAGTTGTGGATGAGCTTTCCCAAGGGCTGCCTAAGCATCCCTTCAAAATTTGACCTTATCCAAAGCTTGAGTAAGCATAACCGCGAGCGGACATCTGAAGAATTTTGTCTTGTAGCCTCGGGAAAAACTCGTCGTTAGCGTGGTCGAGGACGCCGTCGGTGGCCTGGTTCAAATCTCCACATTTTGGTCCTTTTCACTCCAAATTCGCTCCTTTTTGCATCTTTTTGCTCCAATGACCCTAATTCATCATTCCTGCAACAAAACATCAAAAATACATTTCCTTACATCTCCTGCAACAAAACATCAAAAATATATTTCTTTAAAGTGCAATATCATTAAAAACAGTATAAAACAAGTATGAAAATCTCAACATATTTTCATTGGGTCAGGAACCAAATAGAATTACTTTGTCTGAACCTAAACTAAAGTTTCATATGGTTAATAATCCAAGAGATTCCTAAAACCGAGACCCCCTTTATCAATAAGATTACAAACTTTATTCCATTTTTCCAGTGGATGTCATGTTTTTAATTAGACTCTGAAAGAAAATTATTAAATAGATTTTCCAATCTGTGTAATGTTAACGGCAAATTCATTTTTTGCATAACATAAAAAAGAAAAGAGGTAAGAATACTTTTAAAAAAAGTAATTCTTCCCTTGAGTAAGAATTGTGCTCTTAATTTTATCATACAAATTAGAAAAATGTGCTTGCCTCTTACTGATCTTATCTAAAGTTAATCCCAAATAAGTTATAGGAAGATTATCCTTAAGAAAACCAGTAAAATCAACCAATTAGTTCTTTTTCTTAGGAGAAACAAACATAGAACAATAAATATTGCATTTAGAAGTGTTAAAGGTCATACCAGAAATATCTTGGAATAAGGTGATCTCATTCCAAACTCACTTAATGGACTTTTTATTCTCATTAGTAATTATAATCAAATCATCAACAAAACATAAGTGAGAGATTCACAATTTTGCCTTTATGATAATAGTACATGTAGGATATTTATGAAAAAGCTTGTTGAGATATTTAGACAAATAATCAAAGGAAATAATAAAAAGATAATGTGATAAAGGATAACCTTGTTTATTACCCCTGCTGACTTTGATGAAGCCACAAGAGTTACCATTTATTAAAATACAGAAATAATTATTATCCAATTTTTTTTTTAAAAATATGACAAAAATTATTTTGAACATAAAACATGAAGTACAACAATGATAAAATGCCAATTAATAGTATCAAAAGCTTTTTTAACATCCATTTTAAACATGACATTACCATAATTTCCATTATTATCAATATCTAAAAGTAGCTCTTGGAAAATTAAAGCATTATCACAAATATGCCTCCCTTTGATAAAAGTTGTCTGATTCATACTACTGTTGTTAGGGAGAATAGGTTGAATCATAGGAACAATAATTTTTAAGATAATCCTAGATACATCAGTATGAAGACTGATGGGGCTAAACTTATCCCAAGAAGTAAGATTCCTCTCCTTTGGGATTAAAACATTATTTGTAGCTTTAAAGTATTTAGATAAGTTAATACCTCAAAGAAGACATGAATAGTCTTTATCGTATCGTAATGAATCATATCCCAACACTTTTTAACGAACTCAACTGTAAAACAGTCAGGCCCAACTCCTTTTTCGTCCTCCATGTTATCCAAGGTACTTTTGATTTCCTCCATAGTAGGAATACTAATGAGCTTACTACAATCAATCTCTTCATTAGTAGCATGGTTATCAAAATTAATTTTAGTATGCATCGTACCATCTCCATTAAAAAGAGAAGAAAAAAAATTAATACCATCCTTTTCAATGTCCCTGCAAGAGGTTAGAGAATGATCACCACAAGTAGTCATAGAATTAATCAAATTTTGATTTATTCTATTCTTAATACAGGCATGATAGAAGGCAAATTCTGATCTCCCTCCATAAAACTTAATTTAGAAGCTTTATATATTAAAAGGGTCTCCTCCATTTTAATAGCATTATTCAGATTCTACTGACCAAAAAATAAAACATCCCAAGGAATGTCATGGCTACAAATATCTAATTCTAGTTTCTTGACATAATCTTCAACATCATCAAGTTTATTATGAACATCACCAAAAACATGCCAATTCCAATGCTTAAGTTTAAAAGTAAGGTTATTTTTACAAAAACCAAAGTCTAACATCCACATCACCATGGACATTGCCTGTCTAATTATCTTTAACAAATTACGAGGAAGATTAATGCAAGATTCTAATGTTCAAGAATCTAAACCTATAATTAAAATAAGTAGTAAATTCATTAACTTTTAAAAGAATCCAAGAGAGATCAGAAGCAAGAGAGGCAAAGTGATTAACTTCATATAAATAAAAGGTATCGATCTAGCTACCATGAACAGCTCCAATCTTTCAAAAGTAGAACCTCTATGCCAAGTAAAGGGGTTGACCATATAACCAAAACTATACAAATTAGCATCCAATAACATATTATTAAAATCATGAATAAGACTTAGATTAAGATGATTACCCCTTTTTGTTTACAGGGGGGTGGTAATCAGATTGAAATCTCCTCCAATTAACCACAGTTCTGAGACAGCTTTAAAAGAGAGTAAGTTATTCCATAAATCCAGCCTTTTAAGTTTTAAGCACCCAACATAAATAATGGTAAACAAAAATAAATTACAATTAATGTTGACATGATAACGTATAAACCGCTCATGATTTATAAGAATGTTAATCAAAACAAAATCCTTCCACATGAGCTAAATTTTATTACTGCAATTGTAGAAAAAATTGAAATTACCAATTTAACTACTATATTTATCATTGTTCTACGCTCAACAAGAGGCTCGAGAATACCAACTAAAGTAAGGCTATAAGAATGAATAAAATTCCTAAGTTTATTAATGGAAATTTGCTTCTCTATGCCTATGATATTCTAAAGCATAAGATTAAACTTCATCAATAAAATCTTTCAAACCTATAATAATCTTGGATGAAGAAGATAAACTCTCCATTACCAAAGTTTCACTAATTTGAAGCTGAATAACAGTCTCTTGGTTGACATAACTTAATTCCCAATTTCCTTTTTTTTTCTTTTTTTAGCACCCTTTTGTATAATCTAATCCTTTTCCAATTCTAATCTTTTAACTAGACAATCTTTAAATTCACTGGTAACAAGATTAGAATTGTCAATAGTCATATCAATTATGTCAGGTAATTTTTGTTCTTACATTATCAAGTCACGTTGATTTGAATTGTTTAACTCATATTGAACACTATCAATATTACATTGATCATTTGCAACTCTATCAACGAAAGTATTATTTATAGCCTCCTTTTTTTTGGGAATAAAATGCTTACAATTAAAAATATTTTGAAGGTTCAAGATGTTATTAGTATCATTCTCTCCATTAATAGAGCACAATGGAATAATAGAATCAACAATTTCAATTGTATTATTACCATTTTATTGCACACAATCTGTAAAAATACTAAATTGGTCATTATTCTCAACCGAATTTTGCAAAATTGGAATATTGACTGGATTAGGCATATTATTTTTTTGCAAATTCATCTTAAGTTTTTTGTTGGCCAAAGTCACACCCATCTCAACAAGAACATGGGCAACATAAGGATGAGAATAATTTAAACTGGCTACATCAAGTTTCATTGGTGTTCCATAAATTGCCTCTAAAGAAAAAAAAAAGAAAATGTTCATTATAATAATGTAATTTTAAACCAGGAAACTTAAGCCAAACAGAAAAGATGGGCGACTTTTCTTTCGGATTGAAATCAATAGTCCATATGAGAATTTTCATATTTATCTTTTCTATTTTCGACGGTCTTCTTACAAATGAAGAAGTATATTCTTCCTCATTTTCAAAGTGAATCATAAGATTCCTCCCTCTATCAAGCCCAAATTCCAATTTGCTTTAAACTTTCAGGAAAGCATTTCTTTATGATCTCCATCCTCGGATGGGCAAAGGTAAACCTCCCAATTAAAACGTACTTCATGGGGGCAACGAGAATCGAGTTCTCCTCTTCAGAATAAAATAAAGCAGGTTCACCATTTTTTTCTAGTAGCTTTTTTAACTAAACTACTTGAAAGTCCCTCATCAAGCAATTTTTTGAAATCACAAGGAAATAAGCAATTGGTATTGTCCTTAGGAGCATGAAAATTTCATCCCTTAACTTTGTCAATAAAGGTAAGTTTACTAGGGTTCTCCTCCATAGAAAACGAATGAGAAGGCAAACCACAAAACTAACACTAACAGCCAAGAAAGATTTAAAAGATACCAGAATCAACTTATGCCCCTACCAAAACCACACCAAAAAGAAAAGAAAGCAAGAAACTGATGTTTCTAAAGAATTAGAGAGTTAGGAAAAGGTTTGATAGCTAATCAAGGACACGATAAAGCACTTAAAACTGAAAACCAGTATAAATCTCACGAAAACAAAACACTAACATGAGAAAATTCTTAATCCCAAATCATTAGAATGCAAGCAAAACCTTTTAGAGTAAAAAAAAAAGCACACCAAGTAACTTATAAGAATAGTAGAAGAAATCGGAGAAGATGAAGAACTTTGACCCAAACAGAAAGCTTAATTAGAGAGATCTCACCCAATATAAAATATATAGTAACATACAATTAACTCGTTCCTTCTCTTTTCAAATTAAATTAATAGATTGATTTAAGATATTTATGACTTAATTAATTCTTTTAAATTAATTGATTCAAAATTTTAATTGGTTGATTAAATTATTTAATTAAACAATTAATAATTAATTAAGATGCTGATTTTTAAATTAAGCCATTAATTAAATAATTAAAGTTTTAATTGTTTTATTGAAATTATTTTTAATTAAATTAAGGTATTAATTAGTTAATTTAAGCTATTCATTAATTGATTGAAGCAGTAGTTAATAAATTAAATAATTACTTAATTAATTCTCTTTTTTTAATTGATTTATTAAAGTTTAAATTTATTATTTATTAAGTAAAAATTTTGATTATTTCACCGGATTCTGGTCAAGTCAAATAATGTGTTAATTAATTGCTTATTATGTTAATTCAATGATTAATAAATTAATTAAGTTAATTAGGTGATTATTAGATTAATTTGAAAAGAATTAATTAATTTAAAGGTTTGGTTAAGTAAATTAACGGGGACTAAATACTAACTATAATATGGTTGGGGTATTTTGAAGATTAGTAATAAAATTAGACTTTAAAGTTTTCGGCCATGATGATTAAAAGATGATTAAGTTTTAGCTAGACTAATTTAAAGGCAATTGAAGAAATTATGGCCTGGTAAAACGTAGCAAAGAATTGATTCATCAAAGGTTTAGATTTTGGAGGAAAATAATAATGGCATTCAGTTTTTACCAAGATTTAGAGAAGGTTCGGGTTATTTGATTAATTTAAACATCAAGCACATCATAGATTACATAGAAAACCAAAGCCCTATGAATCTTTCATGTTACACGCAATATTTGATATGAAATGCATGAACATAAAATCGATTAAAAATTACACTATATATCTTGCATGTGATTCACGGTTTGGACTTAAAAAATGCTTGAAAGCATGAGTTACTTGATATGGAACATTAAACTTACAAGATATAGTACATGCTTAGTTTTGTTTTGGCATAAATTCCATGGAATTATAATGATTTCGATAAAATAAAGAAATGCAAAAAACAATTTGATTGGCAAGAAAAAGCAAAAAATTTTGAAGAACTAACTTGAATTTAAAATTTTTACCATGAAAACTATTACGTATGCAATATAAACTATTAAACGTTTGGATTAAAATGAAAATCTTTACTCTTAAACATATAACATGGTGTATTTTATATTTACGTCACAGAAACATGTAAGAAAATGATTAAATTAAAAGCCCTGTGATTCTACACAAAACTTATTTTAGTTTTTGGAATACATATGGTGAAAACACGTTGATTTTCAAATGAAAAAGTGAAAAATATCCAAAAGAACATATTTAGATAAAAAACCTATGAAATCGGATGAAGAATATATATTAATTTGGGGAATATTGCACGGACGCATGAAGGGGTTAATTCTTTGAATTGACATGATGAACAGTGAGAATTTGGAGTGAAATAATGTCTTTATACCTTATAAATTTCTTGATTTGTTTGATTTTCATCCTTGCTTTGCCTTTGATTCCTTGTTCTTTGCTTCCTCTTTCGGTTTGCTAGAAAACTATAAAAACAGTTCTCGATTTTAGGATTTTAAGGGAGAGAAAAGGGAGATAAATTAAGAAAGGAGAAAGGGAATTCGAATGGGATCAAGCTTAAGCTCTTGTGTGGTGTGATTCTTGAAGGGAAGAGTGAGTTGCGGCTGGAATAAATGGGTAGTGGGGTAGTTTTTGAGGTAGTGGAGGAAAATGGTTGCTTAAGATGAAAGCGAAAGTTGAATGTTTAAAATCAATGGTGGAGATTTGAAGTAAATGGAGGGATTTTGGCTAATGACACTTGGACCAATAGGATATGGTTACTAGGATAGTTGACGTGTCATTTAGAGATAAAATAAAGAATTAATTAAATAGGCCAAGGGCATTTTTGTAAATAAATACAAAAATGAGGGTTTTTCTGTAAATTACCAAGGTCCATAAAAAAATGACATTATATACAGTTTTAAAAAGAATGAAATCAATAATCCAATAGCTCAAATGGTTTCAATAATAGAGTTGTGTAGCCAAAGTTTTAGCCATTCGAAGTTCAAGGTTGGTTGACAAGGTGGTCGTTCTAGTTGGGGAGTTCACTTTGACAAAAAAATGACTTTGGTCTAGATGATAGAGAAAACTATAGTGAGTTTAATTTTCCAATTGATTTTTTCTAATTTAACTCACTAAGAAGATATAATTGGTCAAATTGGGCCCCAGCCTAGGAGCGAGAAAATGGTCAATTTTGACCAAATTTTTTTATTGGACTTTATTGGTCCAAAGGATCTAAATTTCGACCAAATTTTTTTATTGGACATTATTGAAGTTTGAAAAAAAACTTTGTTGAAATTTGTAGTCAATTTATAGGCTTTTGAAAGAGTTTTGCTCAAATCATCATTTTATCGTTCATAATTATCATTTCCTCTCTCTTGATTATCATTTGCTCAAAAGGTGTCCAAATTGGATCAAAATTATGCAGTAAGAGACACATTTGAAAGCTTTCAATGATATAAAAACAATAGTAAAGTCCGTCTTCAAAAATAATGACTCGTTGAAAAAATTTTACGTAAGACCATTTTCGTGCATGAAAAGCCTAAGTGCATAACTTTATGTAAAAAATATTTCAACTTATCATCAAATTAGTTTGCACGGTCTTTGTCAGTTATCATAAGAGTCGTGCAATCCTGAGAATTAGTTTCTGGGCCATATAATAATCTTTAAAGAGAAGTCCATAATTTTAGGGTTTAATAAGATTCGGCTCAAGTGAAGTCTATCCAAACTTTAGTCAAGGAAAAGAGGGTTAAACAAAAATGAGGTCAACAAGTACTTACTCAACTACATGAAAATATAGATATATTATAGTTAAAAGATTATTATAATTTATCATTTAGATTAAGTGTCCAAGAATTTGAATGAGGATCAAGTAACTAAATAAAGGAAATATTTTTGATAATCAGAAAGAAGTTCAAAAATCTAGAGTATAGGAGTAAGCTCAAGTAAATATAGCAATCTATAAAGAAAGAAGTACTTTGGATACAACTGTATAGTCGAACCATAGGTGTATAATTAAGGGGTATGAACAAAAATGAAAGCACATAGCCAAAATTAAAAAAACTAAATTGAGATAAAACTGAACTTAAATAAATTATTAAGCCTAAAAGAAGTTTAAAGAAAAGTTACTAATTTAAGGGTAGCAAGACCAGAAAATAAAACCTAAGAAATATTTGACTAAGAGAGAATTATGATGAACTAAAAATACATGCATATTTAGACTTATATTTTATTACTCATTTTTACTTATATTTTATACTCATTTTTAGTGATATTGCACTTTAAAGGAAGGTATTTTTCATGTTTTATTGTAGATTGTTTATTTTATCATTATTATTTCATCTTTAGAACTGTCTTCATCTTCAATGTTGATGGTTGGCCTAGTCCATTCAACAATTAGATTGATTCTTCCTCGTCCACATCCCCGGCGTCGATCTCGGGTGTGTGAACCAAAAGAAGCTCCACCAATTTGATGTAGAAGGGTGGCGGAAGATCGTTTAAGCAGAGTTGAATGACCCCCTTTTTGTGATTTTTTTGAATCTTCATTTTTGTTTGTTGGAATCTCGCATGAGAAGACAATTTTCTTTGGTGGCGCGTAGTAGGCAGCATCTTCATGAATACTAACTTCATGAATTGAAAACGGTTGTAGATCTCCGTTGTAGATCTCCTTCGGTTGTAGATCTCCTTTGATGCAGTATTTTTGCCCTTCTTTGTAGTATTTGATGCACTGATGTAGAGATGACGGAACCATGTTATGTTCATGAATCCACGATCTACCAAGTAGAGCGTTAAAAGAGGTGTCGACGTCGATAATATGAAATTTAGCAGTTGTTGCTAGTTCTCTGATTTTCATAAGTAATGTGATCGATCCAAGGGCTCTTTCTCCTTTTTGGCTAAATCCTCTTAGCATCACTTTATTTGTTGTAAGCTCTTGGGATTTGATGTCCAAATAGGCCAATGTACGTAGGTTAATCAAGTTGAGAGATGCTCCTGAATCTACCAGAACTTTGAATAATGTGAATCTGTCGATGTTGACGGAGATGTAGAGTGGTCGATTGTGGTCGGTGGTATCAAGCAGCAAATATTCATCTGTGAAGGTTACCCCTGACTGTTCTTTCAACAAGCAAACTTCATATGAGGATGTTCTGTCCAACTAAGCTAGATAAATCTCTAGGTCAAGAAAAGTTGTAACCAGAGCTTCTCTCAACTCCATTGACAGGATCAGAGCATCATAAATGCTTAGTTGGGCCAACAACTTCTTAAGATGAGCTAGCACATTGTAATCCAATTTGTATGACCATCCACTTCTTTCTTGACTGTGTGGTTCTTCCATTGACGAAGGGGGAGGTAATTCCTCTTGAGTTACTATTTGTTTTCCTTTATCTGTTTGAGCTATCCTTTCAGGCAATACTTTCCCACTTCTTAAGTTTATTTCCATAATTTCTTTTTCTTGAGGTATCATTGTTGAATCTTCCAGTATTTCTTCTTTGTCAGAAAAATCTAAGTTGAAGGTGAGTGGTGCGCCGTGGTGCTCAAGGATTGGCCCCTTACTCTTGGTGCTGTCGTAGCTGTTATCGTTGATGTCTTCTTTGATTTTGTTGACAAGTTCATCGGACTCAAGTATGATTTTAGGACCTTTTTGGGAATCGAGATTGAGTTCAGATTGGTCATGATCGATTACGTCATCACTAGAAATAGTTAAAACGTAGCCAAAATCATAATCATTACATTCATCAGCCCCTGAAGGGGTAAAACGATAATCATACAAAGTCAGGGGTTCGAGGATTTTCATTCCCGAATCCGAGACAACCAATCTATTAGAGGCAGCCCATATCTAACCCCCGTGCTATCAATTCTCGTGATGGAATTCTTATTTTTCTTTGACTTTGATGACTACGGCTCTTGCGGTGAAATCTTCATCTTGGGCCTAGCGGGCTCAAGACTCTGAGCGGTAGTTTGCTTTGAAGCATTATGGATTTGATTTAACATCTTCTTAGACGATTTGCTCCAAATTGTATCCCATCCATCTCTTATGGCATGTGCGGAAGATTGTTTTGATGAATTATGTATTTGGTTTAGGACCCTCTTAAGCTTGTTCCAAGTTGTACTCCATCCATCTTCTTTAGTGTACAGATCAATCAGAGAGATTGGCTTGGCCGAAATCATATTTATAGAACTTTTTTTAGGTTCTTTTAAATATTCTTTCGGAATCGTTATATTTCCTTCTTTGACATTTTCTCGAGCGGATCCTTAAAGATGAAACATTCTTCTATTGTATGTCCTAGTAATCTATGATATGGGCAATAATTCGGTTGATCCTTCTTATCGACCTCTTCGGGTTTCTTTGGGTCTGGTAGTTTGAACATGGGCTTCTTCATCAGTCTTCTGAATATTTAAGATACAGCTTCATCTTTGAAAGAATACACCATTTAACTACATCATTTTTTGTTGTTCTGCCATAGATATTCTTTTATTCTGAGATGATCCTCCCTGAGGCGGTTGCTAGTTAGACTGGCTATTTTGTTTCGGAGCCTGTTATGATGAAAATTGACGAGGAGTTTCTGCATATATCTTTATCGGTTGTTTTCCTTTATCAACAGTTGCGACTGTTCTGGATTTCTTTTCAAACACTCTGGTTGTTTTGGATTTTTTGGATTATATGTTTGATTTATTTTTGAAGACTGCTAGCCTTACTGAGTAGCTTCTCAAAGGATTTGATGGTGAGTACCTTGAGCATGAAAGCTACTAGTCCATGAATGCTTTTGAGTAGGATCTCAATCGCATGATGTTCCTGTAGCTGAGGTTCACACTTCATGCTAAGGTTTCTTCACCTCAAAATGTAATCCACTAAAGTCTCGTTGGGCTTTTATTTCTCCATCATGAGTTCTCCTATGGAAACATGATGTTGTGCTCCAGCGAATATTTTTATAAATAATTGTTTCAACTTGGTGAATGTTTTAACCGATCCGTTGGGAAAATCGACATACCAATCGAAAGAAACTTCTGATAGGCTACTGTCGAACTGTTGACAGAGTAAAGCTTCATTATTTCTTGTATTGCCACAACTGGCTCGGAAGTGTGCTAGGTGATGTCTGGGATTTTTGGTCCGATCAAATATCTTGAAGTTTGGGAATATGAAACCCTTAGGGAAAGGTACTACATCAAACTCTTCCGGGTAAGGTCTACCTTTTAGAATCAATGCACCGCCCTTAGGTTGGGTTAAAGCATCTCGAACTTGCTCAACCATCTGTTTGAATTCTTTTTCCGGCATGGTGCTTGATGGAGAATCCTTCTTCGGTTGCTCATCTTTGTTTGCTGAGTGTTTGCTGAGAAAACCTCTCTTTTCATCTGTAATATGTATGATTTCTGGTTGGTTGATCTCTGGAGATGCTAGTTGCGACGCTTGTGATTGCCCTTGAATAGTGGCCACAACGGTCATGGCAGGGGCCATCTCTTCTATCATTTTCTCCAATAGGCTTACTTGCTCATCCCTTAAAAGAATAGCCCTGTGCAGCTCATCTACGGCGTTCTTTTCAGTAGAAGGTTGAGCATTGCGCACAGATACAGTTACCCTGGTCATGATAACATGGACATCCATGAAATCTTCTTCGAGGTAATCATTATAGTCAGAATTTTCATCATCATCATCGAATGAAAAT